TCTGGAAGGCTTCATCAGTCAAGGAAACACACAACAAAACTGATTCTTCCCCCAAACAGCTTAGTCCAAAGTGGAACAAACCAGTTATGTTGATGCTAAGATGGTCTCTTTGGCACGCCTCCTCATCGACAGTCATGTCAAACTGGTTCAAAACCAAAATAGTGCATGATCAATAATCCAGGTAAACAAACCATGATGTTGGTGTTGGATTGTATACCTGGATTATTGAGCATGGACTATTTTGCAAATACAGTTTTTCAAACGTACACATTTCAATTTGCACAAGTAGGAATATTTTGCACATACAGTCAACTACACGTGCACAAACCACCTGCTACGGACAAATCAGTCAACATGAGTGCATAGATCAGCTTGCTTGTGAATGCAACTTTTAAGACTTTCTTACCTCCAGATTCACAAACATAATGCTGAGTTCAAGGCTAGTGAAAAGCTGGGAAATCTGAGCCTTATCAGATTTAGAGTTATTGACAAAAGACACATTTCTAACTGGGCACAGTATGCACAGTAGCTCAAAACGCCAATATTAAAACACATATGCACATACACTTAAATATATTTCCCGCTATTTTCCTTCTCTGCTAAAATTACCAGAAAATGTGTTTTTAGGCTATACTGTATATTTTTTTCTGGAAAAACTACCATAATGATTATTTTTTCTGTATTTTTAGCAAACTAGAAAAATACTGGAAATATATTTTTCTGGTAGTTCATGCAAAGGAAGAATAACCTAACCCTTTTGAATACTGTAGTTTGTTGGGTATTTAGCACACCTGAATTTAAGCCGTGCATACAAAAAAGAAAACTATATATTTTGTATATATTTAGGCCGCACTTTATAAGCTGCGGGTATCCACATTGTAACATGAGATATTTAAACAGAAGCTTTTTAAAACTATTAATTAAATAGTGTAGCATGGCAGCAAAAAGCTGCAGAGTGAGATGTGCTGCTCTTGTTGTAGATCAAGAATGAACCATGAGATGGTGTTTTATAGACTTTATCTTACTGTTGAACACACACACAGAGTGAACCCACAGACCTTCATGATAACTACCTCACTCACTCATGGTAACATACAGTGCTGACATTGTGATGACATCATTATTATTATTATTATTATTATTATTATTATTATTACTCTACTGAGTGATAAACTAATACAAAATCTAGGCTAACAAGAACAGACTAATCACTAAAAGAACAATGCTAAACAGCTAAATGAAATGACTAACAATCAACATAAATTTTACCCATAGTTCAGTTCAGGAAATACTGTGTGTTTTAATATAAAGGTGCCAGTAAAAATGAGAAGGGTTCATTCTGACACTCGCTCCTGTTCTTTGCTGAATTTTGATTCTTGTTTTAATTTATTTCACTTTTTCATCTTTCAGATATACAAAGTAGTTGAACCATTTTTGTTTTGCCCCTTCTTGGCTCCTTTAGTTGCTATTTTTTCATATTAACCTCCATCTTTCATTTTCAGGGAGTGGTGGCGTAGAGGTTAGAGAAGGTGGGCCTGTGACCAAAAAGTCGCAGGTTCAACTCCCGGTACCGTCAACGTCAAAATGTGGGTGGAAAAGGTGAAACACCCACACCTGCCTTCACCCTCATTTGCCCCACTCTGGGCCCCTGAGCAAGGCCCTTACCCCCCCCCCCCCCCCCCCCCATCTGCTCCCAAAAACAGGTCTCTCTTGAAAATGAGTTCTCGTGATTCAATGAGACTACCTGGATAAATAAAGGTAAATGAAAAAACATTGTTGGAATATGCATTCCCCATCACCCTGGACTGGCACATGTAGATCTCACTTTGTGTTCCTTCTGTAAGCCTGCTTCCATAACACAGACTCCATCAACACTCCCACACCTCTAGCACTCCTCCTTTTTTCAAATGTCTCGTTTCACCTCTCCCTCTGCCCAATCAGACAGCTTCGTGGTTGCCACATCTCCTTAGCAACAGCCCCACGAGGTGAAGGATGGATGAAGGGGGTGCAATGTGGGATAAATGCAGGGGAGAAGTGGGTTAGAAATGGATGATGAGGAGAAGGAGGAGGTATGAACGGTTAGAAAATGAAAAACATTAATATACAGAACTGTATGTCAAATCCAGAGGGTACCATTCTGTTGTTCTGATCAGGAGCCATGACGTTTCTGCTTGAGGTCCTGACCTAAGAAACTATAAAATGTTGCTATTGTTTAAACAATGCTATAAAATATTTATTTGATATGCTTTAGTGTTCCTTCTCATCTTAAGCTTTTCTGTTTCTAGTTTATGTTCTAAATTAAAAACCAAAAAGTACTCACTGCAAAAAAAAAAAAAAATCAAAGACAGCATCTAAAAATAAAGCAGATGGCTGGGTAAGCACCATAGTGACTTTTTTAAAGGATATGCAAATACTCAAGATTTTCCAGGATAAGAAAGATGCTACAAACACATCTTTACATAGATTCAGACCAAGCAGTTACAAGGAGTTAAAACAGAACCTCAGATGAGGTGGGAGGAGTCAAAACAGAACCTCAGGTGAGGTGGGAGGAGTCAAAACAGAACCTCAGATGAGGTGGGAGGAGTTAAAACAGAACCTCAGATGAGGTGGGAGGAGTCAAAACAGAACCAAAGATGAGGTGGGAGGAGTCAAAACAGAACCTCAGATGAGGTGGGAGGAGTCAAAACAGAACCTCAGGTGAGGTGGGAGGAGTCAAAACAGAACCTCAGATGAGGTGGGAGGAGTTAAAACAGAACCAAAGATGAGGTGGGAGGAGTCAAAACAGAACATCTGGTGAGGTGGGAGGAGTCAAAACAG